GTTACGATTGATCTGATTAATTAACATGGTCTCTTGGGGTCATTGCACATGTATGTAGAGTGTGAATTGTATGACTACCAAGTTGGGAATTGAGTAAAGCAGAATTTTGATGGCAGTGGTGGTGTCAACAGATGGTGTTCTGGGTCTGGGATCAATTTGCACAGTAGCACTCGACAATATAATTAGTCTGAACTTGTAATTTGGTGGTAGGTGGGCTGAAACGACGATACAAGAAGATGGATACAAGTATTATTAGGATTAAGAAAATCATTAAATCTTTGTTAAATTTTTGACAAAAAAAAAGAAAGAAAATATATCCAACACTAGTTTTCTTTTTCTTTGTGTAGAGAAGAGGATGGGAGAGAGGTCAGGACCATATCATAATATGGCCCCTACCTTTGAGCATCCCCTTTTGCAAGTAAATCCACTATGTCATTCACTGATCTTGCCAACTGAGAGAACGAAATGTTTATGCTAGATTTAGGGGTTCGAGTCAGGTACTTGATTTGAAGAATTTACATCACGTCAGGCCCAGGTATTCACTGGGGCCTCTTCAAGTTTTAAGAAATGCTCAACCTAAGAACACCCAAGTTGCACTCCTAGTTAGCTGTGGACTCTTTAGGTTTTTCAAATAGTGGGAGGAAGATTTTATATGAACCTCTTTGTTTAGGATGCCCAATTGATAAATATTGCTACCATCTTCTTCATTGATAACAAAAGGAAGAGCATCCCTAAATGACATCATGATATCTAGATGATCAAGGAAAGCTTAAGAACTCACCTTCAGAATTTAGCTTATGCCTGGTTTGTTTGCAGTACAATTTTATTTATACTGGTGCAAAAGCATGGGAGTGCAAATTCTGATTTGTTTTTGATTCAGCTGTTGCTTTATTTTGTCATTTTGCATTGAAGATTAAGTAAAATTAAACCTGAAGCATAGCAAAGTAAAACCTAAAGCAAATGTAAACCAGAATTTACATTCGTCTCATTTGCACTCTCATGCATTTGTACCAGTGAAAATGAAATTGCACTACAAACAAATGGAGCCTTATGTGTATTTTCAAATTTCAATGACAGGACAAAGTATTTACATTGTCAATACAATAGGGACAGGATGCAGTGACAAAGGTGAATCTGTAACAATATGCCACATACACAAGATTATAAGTAATATTCCTTTTAATAGCTTGGAGATAGACACCAGATGATCCACACCCCAATGTTATTAGAGACAACAAAATTGGCAATCAGCAAGATTCCTCAGTCCTCCAAAGACCCTGTATGGACAAGATCAGCATTGGGTAATGGCCTTTACTAGATCAAGAATATCTAGTGTAATAACAGAATAAATCATGGAAACATGAAAATAGTAGTGCCAAATTATGTAATTCCTCATTGCTTCCCTTTCATTAAATATTATGCTTTTGTTGAAGTGACTTGAGTTGTCTTTGTGAACAATGAAGACTAGTGCCTTAACCATTTCTTTGATCCTCTTTGCATTGCAATGCATAACTCTTATTTTTCTAATTGTTTGCACATAGGCAAAAAACTTGTTGGTTATAAAGTTGAAATGGACTTTGTTTGAGAATCCAAACTTAAACAGTTCAGAGTTTAGTTCCTTTTCTGATATTGTAAATCTTTTTGTAAATGCTAATGGGATAGTGGTTTAGTTTTTGTATGACTCTCCCTGTTACAGCCTCTAGTTGTACATGGTTTTTCTTTAATGAAATTCATACTTTACCTCTTCTCAAAAAGAAGGACTATTTTCTACATCCATTCCTTGGGTAAAGGAAGAATATCAAGCAATTCTTCAAATTCTTTCATATGGAAGGATCACCAAAAAAAGAGTCACATTTTTTAGTAAAAGACGCTGTTCCAAGAGTGGTAGGAAAGGAGGGTAACTTTTGGGTTCTTCCCTGTCAGAAAGATATGATGCTACCATTTGAAAGGAAATGATGCTACAAAATGATAGATTCATTTAATTTATCTAAAAGGGAAGAGTCACCATTACTTACAACTAAAACTGGAGAATGTTCAATTGATGCACATCAAGCAATTATATGAGCTTAATTCTTGAAGTTACATAGGCAAATTCTATTTTCTACATATCCTAGAAAAAGTGGCATAATTTCTTAACTGAAGTGCAAATTGAAGGACATTTAACTGATGCCTATAAGCCATATCGATATGTTTAATAGAAAACCAAACTGATTTGTTGTATCTTCCTGATTTACACTTAAAGGTTTTCTTCATAATATAATTATTATCCTGTGGAGTTGAACATGTTACTAGGAAACCTACTTTTTACACTTCTGATCATTTATGATTTTTTGCTTTATTTTTATATTGTTTTTGGTTATCATAGATTCTCTCTCTTATTTGTTGAAATGTTTCAAAATTGACAAGGTTCAAACTTGAAACAATTCTGACCTTAGTTTATCTTTTAAAACTGCTATTAACTTATTCATAAAAAAAAAAAACTGCTATTAACTTGATCACAAAATATTGTTAATCTAAGTCTTCAGTCAACCAATAAAAGGAAGTTATTTCTATTGTTTTTAGTTATATTTTCAAGTGAGTTATGTAGTTTACACTTGTTGGTGTAAAAATTTTAATAAATTCTCATGCAACATAATTCACTCAATCAAGTGATTGAGTTTTTATTATTTTGGGTAAGGCCCATTCAGGGAATCATACGGATTGTTCCCCTTAATTACATCTCCACAAGAAAGTAGAGAACACCTTTTGACTGACTTGGAGAAGTGAACACATAGAACAATAGGGTACTTAAAAATAACTTTTCATTTGCTTTTCTTTTACATACGGATTGTTCCCCTTAATTACATCTCCACAAGAAAGTAGAGAACACCTTTTGACTGACTTGGAGAAATGAACACATAGAACAAAAGAAAAGAACAATAGGGTACTTAAAAATAACTTTTCATTTGCTTTTCTTTTACATCAAGTGTACAAGAATGAGAAGAAAGAAAAAGAAAATACAATTGAGAAACTATACAGCAATACATTTCTCTTTTCTTTTTAATACAAAGAAAGTTTCCTTCTCACTCCTTTCTTCACAATAAGCTGTAGTCAATCAGATGAAATTCTGATTGTAGACAGCCTTAATCCTTGGAATTTTGCATACAAAAAGGGAACCATAGTCAATCAAACTGAATATTTGATTGTAGACAATTTTCATCCCTCTGCTCTTCATTTTCATTTGAAGGGAACCATAATCAGCCTTCAAGAATTAGACTGTAGATGGTTTAATCCCTAACTTTGTCTTGAAAGAGGGACCATAATCAACCAAGTAGAGGCACCTAGTTGTAGATGGTTTATTCCCCTCTATTTCCTTTCTCAAAAGTAAAAACAAAAGAGAGAGAAAGAAGGATACGTAGCAGAAGACATAAATAGGAAGTATTCACAGAGAGGACTTTCCTTTTTTTCTACCTGTATTAGTGAGACTTTTCCTTCCTTGCCTTCCCTTGAGCACTTCTCTTTTCTTCTCTCCTTATCTTTGCTTTTCTTGAGAATCTCTTGTGAAAATTTTCTCCGAAGAGTCTCTCCGTGTCTCTTTCTAGCTTCCCCTTAAGGAGCTTAAATAGGGAGTGGGATAGTTATGTAACTACCTCCTCCTCTTAGGTGAAGGACACTTGCTCCTCCCACTTAAAGAGAGGGAACTCCCATATGGGATACTTTTTTATAGTTTTAATGATTTGACTAGCAGACTAGCCAACCCACTTATTTGAGTTCTAATTTATTTAAATATTATTTGGATTAAAAAAAATGCCTTCAACAACACCTTAATTTGTTTGCAATTGATTACATTAACATTCTGATAAATGATGAGATCAATTTTTTGTGTTGCTTATTTGGAAGATTTGATATATTTGATTATTTAATAAAAGAAAACTCGGTTGAAAATTTGGGTCAGCTGTTTTAGAGAAATGTAGTGTGCATGATTGGAAATTTAATCTATAGAATATAACCATTTTAGTCTGGAAACTGTATCCTTAATATAGTGCATAGGACTTCTCATAATTATCATGTCCATATGTTCTTTGTGAGTTATGTTTTTGATCCACTTGTTAATAAGAAGTTACTTTCCATTTTTATCTTTCATAGCCTTCTCTCTTTACAGATTCATATATCTAAAGCTAAGATCATTTAACCTTCCTTTCCAAACATGTTCCCTATGTGGTTTCTGATATCATGCAAAGGAGAAAAATTGTCTTTAATGGAATACCTCTATATATTTTAAAGCTGACTTGTTGTTGTGTGTTTGAATGGGTTGCTTTACTTATTTTAATATGATTCTTTTCAGGGTTTCCGAAGAACCACTGCCAGGAATCAGTCAGAGCCACGGGCTTTATATCTTCATTCAGTAACCCTCCATCAACTCTACTTGTTCTTCATTCATGCCTTCTATTGCAGAAAATCATAATAATTTGTGATGTCTCTTCACTAATTGGATGATTGGATCTTAATGTTTTGAGCAGGTTTTGACTCACCGTTCAGGTTCAGCAGTTATGCTTTCACTTATATATTCGGAAATGTTAAAAATGCTACGTATGTGGGGCCTTTTGGATTTTGATGTAGAGATTTACTTCCCTCATGATCTTGAGAGTCTGCCTAGAGGGTACTGTAAACAAAGAAGCAAGGTGTCTGATGAACCTCATATAATGACATCGCAGTCCCTTCTGGTGGAGGTAAGACATCAGTCTATGGATTGTTTTATTAAGCAACCTATGTGTTGATCCTGCTAGGGTCCATTACTTGGTGTGATGGCTATCAAGCATGAAAACACAGGTTCAAGTCTGAGAGCAGCAACTTTGTGTGAAAAATGCCAAAAGCTAGGACTGTATCCAGTCCACCCCTCCCAAGACCCTAGATGGCTGGATTCAGAATTATGCATGTTATGCATGGTTGTCAAGGCACCAAGGTGAAGCTGGGAGGCAGCACCTAGGTGATGGGTTTTTCTTTTAAATATAAAACATAAATCCTTGGGTAGTTCCCCAGGTCCCCAGGTTTCATAGAAACCAGCAGTTATCTTTTATTAATAATTACCAAGAATCCTCATCAAATAAGTATTAACCTCATATCAAAACAAAGAAAATCAACTTCTACACGAGAAGAAAAGGAAGAAAGAAAAGAAAGCGCAGAAAATATTGGGGGTTGAGCCTTGTTTTTGTCCAATGGAGAAAACTAGAAGAGTCTTAGAAAAAGGAAATGAGGTGGAAGAAGATGATGGCATACCTTAGTTGCTATCGTCTTTTTATTGGATAAAATCTTCTTGTTCTTCCTTAGTTATCAGTTCAGGTTTACTAACATCTGTGTTGATTGAACCCAAATACATAAGAAAGCAGGAAAAAAGGAATTGAATATAAGAATTACGAAAACATTATAAACCCACAAAGCGAATAATTTAACGGGGTAATGTTTGTTGTAATATTATAGTTATCATATAAATATAAAAATATTATATGGTGCCTTGTAAAAAAATACCAAGTGCTTGGCCAAGGTGACCCTCTATGAGCACCTAGGTGTCACCTTGACAACTATGATGTTATGATTCAAGGTTTTAGTTATATAGTGTGCTATATGTTTGGAAAGATTCATGCACGTATGTCAGCTTGCATATGCTGGTTTTGGTTTTGTTTTAGCAAACCCAGAGTAGAACAACCTGATTACTGTGATTAAGGTATGATGACAGCTGATACCGTATTGATTAACATCAACTAGATGCACTGCAGTAGTTTTCAATTGATGTTAATTGAATTTATATACAGAACAGCCATCTATTTGATGGAAAGAATATTCAGCCATGAATACCCTCTCCCTTATAGTCTAGGCTTTAGTATTCCATCAACCATTCCATAAAATGAAGAGGAGAGAAAGGGAAAACCTACCCCTCATCTGCTATAGGATTCTACTTGAAGCAACAAAGGGGAAACTCTTGAGGTTTTTCTTAATTTGTATCTTTTACTATAATCTCTAAAGGTGATCTGGGACTGGTTCAGGATTTTTTTTTCCCAACAATCAGCTTATGGTGCTCTGTTTTGTCAAACCTAGAGAAATTTAATAGGCGTTATTGTAAGATGTAAGGGCCATTATTTGGTGCAATGGTAAATCTCATCACAGAGTTCACTAATTTTTAGAGAACTTTACCCCTCTGAAGAATATACAAACTTTGCTTCTAAAAGAAAGCAAGAGTTTTTCTGTTATTGATCAAAAAAAAAACAAAAAACAAAAGAAAGCAAGAGTTTTTACTAATGGGCAATGAAAGAGAACTTTTGAAAATGAGTTAACAAACATACTGCTTAAATCTATTTGTGTTTTCATGATTATCCAGAGTTCTGTTTTAACTGTTTCCTTTTATCCATTAAAATTGGAGCTTCAGGAAGTTTTTAAAGTGGTTTCAATTGCATAAACTAATCCTGCAATTTCTTTTAGTTTCTCTTCCAAAATGGAACTATTAGTAAGGTGTAGGTAGTTGTATCTGCTTTCCAGTTAAGCTAGTGGGACTGTGAATGCAAAAAATGTGACGTGAGAGTGAAGTTTACAGGTGAACATTACATTATTGGTTTGTAAATTCACCCATTTTGATCACTGAACTTGGAGTTCCATATTTATATTATTCAAGTCGTGAATGAACAAAGTATGTTTACAGAATTATTAATTTCAGGTCTGTTTACAGAATTATCAACAGTGCCTTTTTTGTAGTCAGTAATACTTGCAGGTCACAGCGTCCAATGTTTTATTAATGTACTTTTTAATGAGCAATAATATAGTGATAGGGCTGTTCAAACTCCATTTGAAAGAGGTGATAGGTTTTGCTGCATCCTTATATTTTAAAAGGAAAAATAAATAAATAACATGGTGGGAATTGTGAAATTAGGTAGTTGAGTCCCCTATAGTTTGGTATAGACGGTCTGCTCTCCCATGGTTTTCTTTTTCTTTTACGGTATTATCTTTGTTCAAAATCATGCTTGATTTATCTTGTGTACCTGATGTCATGGTGCTCATGCAGATCTTGAGGAACCTTAAAGAAGCTTTCTGGCCCTTCCAATATGATCATTCTAGAAGCCTATTCTTAAGGGCAGCTCATGCTGCTAACTGCATTGGTGGACCAAACACTGTGAAAGAAAGGTCATTGCCACCTCTAATTTACAATTTTTATATGTACTCGTCTTTGCAAGGGCGTTTAAATTTGCATGGCACCTTTTTCTGTACTCGTAAATTTTCTCTTTTGTCTATTTATACTGGCAGTGGCTTTGACCTTGCATCTGCTAAGGCTGCTCAACATAGACTGGAGCGTGGGGTTTGGACTAGCGTACGCTATGGTGATATGCGACGAGCACTGTCTGGTAATGGAAGGTCTTGGATCAGTTGATAGGAAGAAATCTAAAACTTCTAAGTTGCTCATGTTTATTCTGGCTGATTGATATTCAACTATGCTAATTTTGAGAATTTTATTCCTTCTAAATTTCTTCCTGGAGCCTTTGTTGTAGTAGGTGTCTTCTACTTTAGGCATCATCAAGATCAGCATACATATATCCACATCTACAAATATGCAGATCCAGGGAGACAAGCAGTCAGGCAATTCTAATATTGCATTAATATATGTACATCCTCTGCTCATGGTTATTCTGGTCAATTAAAGGGCATTACCCGATGTTGGTCCCAGCTATCTGGGGTCTTGGGAGGGGTAAACTGGATATGGTCCTAACCCATGCTCTCATGCTTGCCAGCCCGAGATTTAACCATTACATGAAGTAATGGCCCCAGTTATTCTGCCCAGCAGCCAGCTGACATACCATTATTCTAGTTTTGATACCATCCAGATATCTTGTGTTTTAGGTATCATCAACAGCAATGTTCATATAACCACATCCATAGATCTGCAGATCCAGGGATACAGACACCCAGACATTCATTTATGTATTTTCATGGAAAAATACATTTTTTTTATGAATCATGGAAAAATACTTATTACATAAAACAGTGTTTCTTTTTGTGTATATGGCCTGCATAACTTAATTTTCACTTGTATGGTGATGCCTATTTTGCATATATTTTCGTTTGCTTGGAACAATCCTCTTTAATGCAACATATGTACTGAGCAACTATATTACATTAGAAAAAGCAGTTGCTTTAGCCAATTGACTGGTATAATTTGATCTCTGATACTAAACATAATAAATAATGTATGATTATTTAAATACTCTGTACATGAACTAAATTTGTCTCTCATTAAATTAAAATCTCTTCTGGTGTCTTGGTTTGCCGTTTTTCTTCCTACTTGAACACATGAAGATATTCTAAGCAATTTAGGATGTGAGAAGAACATGGGAGTGTGATGCATTCAAGGGATAAAGTTCAAGAAATTGGAAATAGAAAGAAATATAATTAACATTTTAACAATTATAGTTTCAAATAGGTGTTATGTGTCTAGGAGATAGAAAATTAAAAGTTGCTATTAGAAAACAGAGGTGATGGGTTGGTTAAAGTGTTCAGGTTATAGGAACTAGGATTTAAGTTGAGGGAATTTCTAGAGGACCCGTTTTACAGCCCCAATTATGCTCCATATGGAAAATTTCTAGTCCTTAAATTTCTATAAACAAATTGACTAGAAAAACCATTCCTATCAACCAAGCAAGCAAGATATATTTTAAGAAAAAGGGAATGTGCCTAAGATGCAGTACCTCTTGTTGAATCTAGGATCATAGCCCTAAAATCTCTGAAACAAGGCTTTAATGGTGTTAGACCAGCATGATATGTGGTGAACACCACTCATTGGAGGTGCTCATGAAAGAACCTATCATGGACTTGAGATTGAACTTGAACCAATACGAAAAGGAATAATTTATCAACTCTTTCAAACAACACTCTAATTTGAAAATTAAGAAATAACTTCTCATAAAGCAACCAAAAGTTATCTAATAGGAAAAAGAAATAATAAGGATACAAATTAAGACTACAAGTTTTCAGATTGTTGACCAAGATGAACTAATTGTTTCATACTGGGCCAAGGGAAGATCAACAAGGAAAAGACCAATAACTGTGTGGATGGAATGGGAGGATTATATTCTTCATTTAGGAATTTATCTAGAAAGGGGGGAACAAATTATCATTTCATTATAAATAAATAAAATTAAGTAGCAAAAGATCCACATGCGTGTTTTTTTCATGTGTATTTAGCTTTCTATTGATTTTCTGCATGCTACAGTAGTTTCTCTAGCTCCAACCCCCATTAATTGGGCATTAATGTTGTACTACTAATAAAATATCTAGCATTGTCTCAAAATTTGTTCATTATTTTAGCATACCAAGGGATCTCTAATCCAATGATTCGGTAACATTCTCATTTAAGATATTCTTGTTTACCAGCCTGTGAACGTCTAATCCTACTGGAATATGATCCTGATGAATTAAGGGATTACAGCATTCTTCTTTATCACTGTGGGTTTTATGAAGAATCTCTGCAGTATCTTAAATTCTACAAGTCCTCGAGGGTAAAAGTTTCTATTACCTGATTTGAATTATTGAAAAGCAGACAAACTTCTAATATCTAAAGGAATCCTTTGTACTGTTGCAGAGTTCTTCCTTCAATAAGACATCTTCCAGTAAATCCAGTGACCTGGAAGAAAATGCAGTTGAAAAACTGATGGTTCGTCTCAACCTCATTTCCACGGAGGAAGGCTGGACCAGACCCTCGTATGTTAGAAATTTCTTGAGTAACAACTCTGAGCCATGGTAGTATCTGCTAGGGAATCAAACTTCTAATAGATTCTAAAGTGGAAGCTCTCAATGCATCTGATCCGGTCCATCATCCGTGGGGATGAAACTGGATTATGAAATCCAGAGTCAAAAGAGTAAATACTGCATTAGCTTTTTGTACATTCTCCTATGAGAGTAGGTGATGGTCCCAGTATAACTACGTATAGTGAAATGCAATATGTTGTATATGTAATTGTAAATGGCTGTGTATATACATATTCCTGCACTGTAAGCCTGGCGATTTGCTGGGAGTTGGGATGATTTATTAGTCTGTATTCTTGCTGTTGAAGAATCAGGACAGAAGATGCAGAAACTTGTATATTCTCTTAAGCCTTATCCCAACTATATGGGGTTGGCAACATGAATCTTGTTTTGCCATTCCATTATCAAATTATGAGTTGCTTAAGTGATTAATTACTACAACCCATGTCCTTTTTGGTGTGCCCCTAGTCCTTCTAGCCCCTCCAATTCTTAACAAATTGCTTATTTTTATCGGTGCTATAGATAGGTCTTCTATGCGTGAAACTGAACCATCTTCCTTTACTTTTTATTGATTTATCACCTATTGGAGCTATTCCTAGGTTCCTTTGAGTCATTCCTAATTATATCCTTTTTTTATTTTCTCATAACTTGATCTGCATTTCTGTTGCACTTTTTTTTATAACATTTCTTGACTGTCTAATGCTCCTGCTCCATATAGCATTATTGGCATACGATTTTATACAACTTTTTTTACTATTATCAGAATGATATAGCACTGCAGATTTTTTTTTTAGATTTTAATTGAAGAGCACTAGGTCATGATTTAATAAGGCTAGTCACAAGAGTGAAAAACAAACTAGTGCAATGTAGCGTGTGGGTGTTCATTGATTGCCATTAAGTTGTCTCTTCATTGACATTAGTTGGGTCGGTATCCAGGTACTCAAGTAGTTGAGTTATAAAACATTTGTTTTCCTTCCACATGGGCTACTTTTATCTTCTATAGTCAATTCAATTGTTAAAAAAGGTATTGGCACCTTGACCTATAGATGGTGACATATTTAATACTAGGGTAAGACTTAAACCTCCCCTGAGGTTCCTTCTAAATACTAAAACCTTCCCTCATTTTATTTTATGGACTTAAACCTCCCATGGCAAAATGACACACCGTTACATTTCACAGAATCAATAAAAAGACTCCTTTGCCCTTAAACATTCTTTAAATTTTCAAAACATGTAAAAGGCCGATTCAAAAATGTTCATACAATGTAACTAATAAAAATAATGTTGTCTCGATCACCATTCACCATTGGTCTGTGCTCAAACCCTTTCTTGTAGATCTTGAATATTGAATCCTGACATTAGCAAAAGGGAGAAGCCAAGGGAGACATGGTTTAGGCCTTTTCTAAACAAGGTGAAACATATATAGTGTGAAAGTTCATTCTGAGCTTATGGGGAGACAGTGAGACTCGGTTTCTAATTAATGAGGACCGTTTGAGCATTCGGTGCTTGATCCACTGATGAGTTCCTCTTGTTTTCAATTTTCTGTTTGTAGTTGTTGAATGCAATGATGTAGAGGAAGGAGCCTGCAGGGTTCTATTTCCTGAGGACTATATCGATTTAACTTTGTAAAGGCAACAACGTATTGAGAAAAATAAGAGCAGGAAGATGAATCAAAATAGAGCCTTCCTTTTGACTGAGAGAAATATGAAAGAGTTAACAAAAACTACAATCTGAGACTAAACCCAAGAATTTTTACTACGAGGATTCCATTGTACAAACTACAAAGCCATCCGATTTACAGCTTTCAGTTTCACTGGGCTAGGTTACGAATCTCAGACTTCCAAGCATGATTCAATGTCCAAAAGCCCATATCTATTCATTCTACAAAGTAAGGGTATAATCCTCAAAAAATGGCAGTATTTCTTGTCAATGAATGCTACTCAACGCATACTGAACTCTGAACCTTCAGATTCGACAATTTGTTGTTGATGAGGTCTGCTATTCGCAGTTGTGGCCGAACATCAATTTGATGAGGGAAGAAAGAGGGGTTAGTAGAAAAAATTATGAAGAGGAGAGAAAAGGGACCAACCGAATCATTTGGGAATTTTGACCTAGGGTATAATTGGGTTTTCGAAATAATGCCAGACCTCACATGATGCCACATGTAAACGATTCATAACAGATGGTTAAAAGAGGGTAATATTTGTCTAATGATATCATATCATCAATAGGGGAGGTTTAAGTCCTTTTTGAAAAAAGAGGGGAGGTTTTAGTATTTATAGGAAACTTCAGGGGAGGTTTAATTCTTTTTACCCTCAATTCAAGCTGATTCAGTTGGACTTTATCTGTGGATATAATTCTGCAAGCCTGAAGCTGGCCCAAATCTTAGTTGGGCTCTTGGGCCTGGTTTCAGTAGTTTACAAGCAAGCCCAAGATGGACAATTTAAATGTATAAGTAAAAGTCAGTCCAGAGAATTGCAAAATGCCTCCCAGATAACCCAGCTCTATGTCAACCAATACTTTTGTAGATCAAATTAGTTGCAGATTGAAGCTCTATTAAAGCTCTTCCAGATGGTGTAAAGCCCAACTGTAAGGCTTGTTTTTAGAGGAATAGAATAGACAGAAATGTTTTGCAGCAGCAGATGTATTTTGATCAATTTTGCCAAAAACGGATTCCCTTCAAATGAGAAATCTCATCTTCCAAACTACTTTTCTCCACAATTTGTACCTCGGCATTACTTACACACGAATGTTCTAACCCAAGATGACCATCTAACTTCAGAGGTGAATCAAGTGGAAACCAACTACAAACCCAGCAATTTGGATCTCATATACCAAGCTAAATTGAGCATTTGCATCTCTACATTTTCGGTGGTACTTATTGGAGAGCAAATTTTGTGCTTTCATGATTTACCTCTCCCTATAGCCTATAGTGAGGTAGTTGAAGCATTGATAAGTCAGTCATGAATGATCTTCAATGCTTCAAACACAATATGACAAGGGTGTGTTTGTTGACAGCTGTAAGTGTCTAAACTGAATTGCTAATTACTTTTGTCATTTTGGGGGTGTTTGCCAAAGTACATGATTTCTATCTTTCAAAACAAAAGCAACTCCAATGTAATTGCTGTTACAGAGTATCGGCTGATACAGGCCATACTGTTGGCCCATCTGACTCCTAAATTTAAGCCATTTTTCTCTCATGAATTTCTGTCTCCCTCCTTAAATTCTCTCTATTCAAATTCAAATTCCTCTCTCACATTAATCACATCATTAACTTTAAAGGCTGCACACGGTATCCAATCATTAACGTTCGAATTCAATCAAGGGTGACCTGAATTGATCAATTTATAATTGGATCAGATATGGATCCATCTCTATCTGGCCTGATGCAATCCAATTCGATTCAATTTATATTTTTATTTATATATATCCTCATGCATACATGAATTTATATTGTATCTGTTAGTAATGGTGGTCTAAATTTTGTGTTTTTACTAAATTGTCTTAAATTCAAGTAGGAAAAATCTATGATACGGAAAAGATGCGGTATGGGAGGAGTTTTGACCAATCAAAACCCACCCATGAATTTTGATAAATAACACCCGATTAACTATCATGTTTATAATTCTAGTTAATTGGTCAGAAGTTGTTCAGATATCATATCTTTTTCACATCATAGTCAAACCCTATTTTGATCATTTTTAATTTAATTCATTTATAATATTCAATAATCCAAATTCAATTCCAATCCAATATAAATCTGATGGAGATGATCCAATTTGAGTTTCAAAATAAATAAATCAAATTTGGATTTACCTAAATTCAATCAACTTGCAGCCGTACATTAGCTCCTGTATTTGAGCCATCATCCTCTCTCATTAACTTTGATTAATACCATAAGTTTTATGTAAACTGCAACCAATAAGATTTGAACCCGCACCAAGCTCACCATTAATACGCCATGCTTCACCTAGTTGTTAAAACTTAATCCTTAGTCTTTTTCTCTTCTTAAATTAAAGCATGTCTATCATTTTTTTTAAATAGTTAATTATTACAATATTTATGAATGTCAGGAATTATATGGGTTTCCCAAGAATTAAGGTAGAGACATATTTTTATCTCTTCTATCATTTTTCAATTTTTTCCCAGCGTATTTTGGTAGTTCACAACACTTTACATAAACTATCAAAGTATCTTATGTGATTTTCAACATTTGCTAAGAAGACTCAAATTATGTATGTCTATCTTAATTCTTTCATTATATCTATGCATATCTAAAATGTATCTTAATGTATCACTTAAGTATATGTTTGGCATCGACCTACATATACAACACCGTTTTATGTGTGGGTTGGAAGTACCGTTTTCTGATAAAAGTGTCTTTTTTTGTTTGGAAATGTTGTTGCTAGATAAGACATTTCCTAGGGCAACAACAACACCTTCTGTTTGGCACCACTGCTCCGTATCTGTTTCTAAGATTGGTACCCATTATAGGAAGTCCACATCATGTCCTCGTTGGCAGCAACAAGCTCCAAATTGAGAAAATGCCGAATTCGGTATTTTTTCAGACCACGCCTTCTCAATTTCCAAAATGTGGTTTGGAGCACCGTTTTTTATAAAAAACAGTTCCAAATATATTACTGTTTTCTGAAATACCAATTTTTTCAACGTAACACTAATGTGTCACCATTTTCTAGAGCAATGGCACCAGTTCCAAACAAAATCTAAAATTACGTTTCCAATACTTTTTGTGTTTGGCCATATCAAGAAAAACAATGCATATTGAGAAACAACTCCTTTTATTAAATTAAGTAGGTTGTGTGCTCCTTCATGGCTGAATAGATTGTTAGGTTAGTTACTAAATTCAGTGCAGTCAAACATAGAGCAGATTGGATGGTTCGAGTGCCACAATTGGAACTCATGTCTGCCAGCCAAAACAGTTCTTAGAAATGTGAACTTAATGATACCTACCCAATTTACGTGTCAATATGTGTTATACCCTCTATCATTTATTGCTTCAAGATTATTTTAATATGAAATGATTTTAAAAATAATCTAAAACTATTTTTATTTGAACAAGTTCAATGGTTGAACAAATAGTTGAACTGTTCAACCGATGACCAAGTCACCAATTTAAAATTAACAACAGTTCTTTATCTACTACAAGTCCAACAACATGTACTGAACCCTTAAAATATTTACTATCTACCCACCATTAGATATATTCAAATATGAAGCAATAAAATATTATTCAGTTTCAGCCACTTCAGCCATTAACAAAGGGCCTCCTGGGTCCTCTACGAAGAGTACTAATAATAAGCATGCGCTTAGGACCACAACACAGTCAACCTATGTTCTAGCTAGAATGATTTGGAAAGATAAAAGCAAAAAATACCCACAAGAAAATCAGTCAGGAAAGTGCCAAATTCACCTGGAATTCC